TAGTTTATTCACATTGTTTATATTTGTTTATCTAAATATGGTGTAACTTCCACAATTCTATATATCTTTTTGTATCTTGTCCGCTCTAGTCCTGAAGAAGACATGCATAGTCGGGTCGAAACGTTGGCTTTTAATAAAATAGTTTTGCCACTTTTTAGTCTATTAATGACCGCCACCCCGGACCATATCTTTCCATAATAACGCAACGGTCAACTAATAAGTATATATATAGACTTTTTAAGCGTTATAATTTTACTTTGTTTATTGCTATAATTTTTTCATTTATAAAAGAGCCTGTCTATAACTGGTTCAAAAGATTGTCTATTACTGGATCTTTGAAAAATCATGTGTCAGACTTTTTCTATTTTTATATACAAATTAAGCAAACTGCCAATCAAGCGTATATATTTCGATAAAATAATAAAATTTGCATTAAATTAAATCCATTTGTGGATATCCACCATCAGGACTAAAACTGTGGTTCATATAAATGTAGAACAATTATCTTAAAGTGTCTATTATTGGTACAATTACCTTATATCTTGGTATTTTAGATACAATATTTCACCTAAATATTATTAAGGTGTGTTTAGACATTTCACAAACTATATGTAACGCAATTACCTAACTTATCTGACGAGCGACGTTATTACTAAACCAAACTATTTACTTCATTTTTCTTGATGCCATCAGCGGAGAAATATAAAAACAGGAAACAAAAATAATGGAATAACCATTTATATATTTGTTTGTCTCATGGTGTTTGATATGTATCTTTAGATGTTAAAAAAATATAAATAAAAAAAAAAATTAAATTAAAAACAATATTTCTTCAGGTTCTAAATTTTTCAGATTAAAAACAAAGAACTCCGCCTTATTTTTATGATGTAGTAAATAAGTCAGTACATATTTACTATATAAAATTTTAAAAATAATTTCATGGAATGAGTTTTCCTGGATAGGGAAGTTGAGAGTTTCCGGTAGAACATTCCTCAAGATACCTTTTGACCTCTATTTGAGAATATGAATATTTTAAAATTTTTCTTCACCCAATACAACTGGTGAGGAAGATGTCTTCTTTTGAGTTTTCCACTTCAATATTGTAATAAATTAGATTATTGTTTAAAATAAAGCCTGTGAATACGCAAGAGATTATGTAGGTTAATATTTAACAAAAATAGAAGATACTGATGGATATTGAAGTGAGTAGATCATCATATTGGATCTTATTTGAATACTTTTTTTATCTCAGAATCGGCTAGTGTTAGCTAACTAGATTATTAAAACAATTGAGATTCCTGTTTTTATTACAATCAACTTATATTAAGATAATTAATAGGGTAGCAAAATAATAAGATCACAAATACCGAAAATCTTGCTTTAGTGTGAAAGAAGAGGAATTATCTGTTTCACGTTTTCTAAAAGCCTATAAATTTTATTGTTATTAATGAAAACTTTTTTTTTTCTTCAAGTCTTCATCCGCACCTGTCATGGTAGTGACAATTAGCAGATTTGTTGTTAGGTAGAGAATGGCATGATAGGCATGACGAAGAATGGAGGCCAGCAGTACCTCTTCCCTGGTCTGTTTACATCCTAAAATCAGGAAAGGAGATCTCTCATCCAGCTCCTTTTCAGTCACCTCCTGATGAGCATTTCAACCGTGGCCATGTCGTTGATAAGTCCATTGTGATGTCCGTGTAGTTTTAGATGAAATCGGGAGTAGAGAGTACGTATGTGCTGGTCAATGGTTGGTTGTCTTAGGTCGGTATGTAAGATATTTAAGTCTTATTGTTGACATACCAGTGAGCTGCAGTTATTAGTCTTAAAATTTTAGATTGTAGTTTTTGTAAGTGAATCTTTTTTGCTGAACCGTAAATCTGTGAGGCGTATGTCCAAATGGGTTTGAGCAGGTAAGTGTATCTATTTAGTTTTTGTCTAATTTTCAGTTTTGATTTAGAAAACAGTGAGTAAAGTATTTTCAGTCGCATGTTCAAAGTCTTTCTTTTTATTTTGACGTGTGGGCCCCAGGTCATCCATCTGTCAAATATATTAGTCCGAGGTACCGTATAGTGTCCTTCTGAGGAATTGGATTGTTGTTTATATAAACTGGTGGACATGTTTCTCGTCGAAGAGTAAATGCCATGTATTGTGATTTGTTATGATTTAATCTAATTTTCCAGATTGAATTAGAATAGAACGTATATACACAAACAAATATATAAATAGTTATTTTATTATATTAGTATTTTTGTTTTTATATTTCTCCTCTGATGGTATCAAGAGAAATAAAGTATAATAGTTTGGTTTAGTAATAACGTCGCTGTTAAATAAGTTAGGTAATTGTGTTACATATAGTTTGTGAAATGTCTAAACACACCTTAATAATATCTAAGTGAAGTATTGTAAATAAAATACCAAAATATAATAATAATAATAATGCTAATAGACAGTTTGAGATAATTATTTTATATTTATATGAATTACTGGATGGTGGATACCCACAGATGGATTTAATTTAAAGGAAATTTATCCTTTTATCGAAATATGTGCGCCAGTTTGTATAACATTTCATATAAAAATTGGAAAATTATGACACATGATTTTTCAATGTTCTAGTAATAGACAATCTTTTGTACCACTTATAAACTTTTATATAGAAAAAAATTATAACAATAAAAAAAATCTGGTGTGCGCAATACACTACTTTCAATTACCGATCTATTTTGAATAGAAATTATATTCTGGCAATGCTGGGCTATTATAAAATGTTTTGAAGTGCATTTTAAACGAAGCTAAAGCTTAAAGCTTACAGATAACAAGTCATTAAGACCATTATAATTACAAAATGTCTAGTTAATATATCGACGACAGGCAATAACAATCTAGTAACTCCAAAAAATCTAGTGAATCTATCTGCATTTATAAACCACACAACTTTCTTTGCTTTTATAGACAACAGAGTGACTAACTCAAATTTCAACATTTTTGAATAATATTTTTGGTTTAAAAAGTTATCTATGCAAACAATGAGTAAGTTGATTACAGAGGTGGTGATTGCAGTGTTGAAATATAGAACTGACAATAAAGGTATCAATTTAGGTACTTATTTCTTATGATAGATGTTCTTAGGAAAGACACTTTATTAAATATCTGTAGAAAAACGGTTTTTTTAGTCTCAGCAATTAAAAAGATATATTTTAAATTTATCCAAATTTTCGCCTCTTCAGGGGAAAAAACTAGAGACCATATCTTTCCTCCTAATAATCCGATTTTAAAGATTTTTTTTTTTTTTTAGGAAATTTTATAAACTTTTAAAAAACCATAAATATCCCGAAAAGAGCGTATACTTTTTGAGTTATTCGAAATTTAATTTTAACATCCCTCGTAACTTTTTTTCCAGCTTCTTTTAGTTGAAGTTAGAAATGTTATATAGATAAATTTAAAAGGTATGAGATAATAACTTTAGCGAATTTTCATTGAAATCTGTACATTCGTTTAGGCGCTACAGTCTATAGCAACGCAGGTTTTTCTGCATTTTTTTTTCTCCTTTATTAACTTATCAAATTCAAAAGTTATATGTAGCATTTCATCGTAACTCTGAATAATGCGAAATGGTTAACTTTTTAAAATAAACCATAGGTACTTTAGAAGAAGACATATGTGAAGGTTGGACATTTAAGCCCCGTAAAGTGACATCAACGGGGATAAGACCGAAATGATATTAAAGACCACTTAATTATACAATGATACACCGACTTTGATCAAAATCGTCAGAACACTTCCGGTTAGCCGATTTTAACGAAAAAGTTGTCACATCCGGCCCATATACAAACCTTAAATATCAGTTTCGTACTACTTTTCATTTATGAGCTAGACTGTTAACACACACACACACACACCTACCTGAAATGCAGATAATGCAGGTGTCAATAGTTATTACCATATTTTCTCCCCTTGACTATTTCTAATTATTTTTAGTTCATTAAATATCATTCTAATTTATGATATAGATTTAAATTTACTAATCAGCCGTCGTTTACACATAGCAGAATAAAAATTATTTTCTAGCAATTTTGCGCTATCACAAAGTTTTTGAATTGTATTTTTAACGGAGCTAAACCCTAACAGCTGATCTGCAAAAACCCATCAAGGCCATTAAAATAACACAAACTCTATTTATTACATCGATGGTAGGTAAGAAAAACTTCATAAATACATCTGTTTTTGTAAACCACATAACTCAAGTTTCTGAGCCACAAATATGCCTTGAGAGATTTGAAAGTGCATTTGTATATTTAACCTATTAATCTACGCTTGTTAATATTATTAATCTATGCAGGCCCATTTTTTTTTTGTTTTCTTTTTTTTCTAATAGCATATGTAAAAACATTTAAATTAGTCGACTATAGCCGACTTAACCCGAGCGTTAAAATCTGACAGATTAATCAAATTCACTCTCCGGAAAAAAAAAAAAAAAAAAGTCTATAGAAGTTTTCACTTTAAAATATTCAACTATGAGCAAAATAAAATGTGTGTTCTTAAAGAAAATCTGGATGATCAAAACATATAAGCAGTATTCATATCTACTACGTACCAATATAATCATCAACCAATGCGAAGTTGAAGAAATGTGATGTCCACAAAAAAGGTACCATCAGAAGTATATATATATTTATAATTGGAGGGGTTGATAAAGAAATATAAATAGTTTTCACTTTGGTTTAAATAACTTATTTTTAAACACATGATCCTAACAAAACATACTATACATATTACAAACATAAACATACATCTACTATATTTGCGCAGCTGTTAATAAGTTCTTGAAGGCCCGTTTGACAAGCATGAACATATATATTTATAATTTAATATTAGCTGTTATACACATATAATTATTTTTATAATATAGAAGTTTTGCTCTATGAGCGTATATATAAACATACATCTTATATAATCTATTTATAAAAAATTAAATATCTTATCATTACATTTTTATTAATCTAAGTGTTAATTAATTGATTTAAGTAATAAGTTAATACTAAATGGTAGATTTCATGGATGATACTTAAGGTTGGGCATTGAGCAGCAGTTTCATATTCGGTTCCAAACCTCGCTGCTTCAATGGAGCAGGAATGATTGATGCAAGCACTCTTATGTTGGATGTAAGTCATCCAACGGGACGGTGGCATAGGGAGATCTGCAGGAGCTGGAGAATCACCAAACCCTTCATAAAGTACTGAATATAATGGCGATTGTCTGGGGCTCTTGGACGGAGTTCCTCTTGACTTGCCATTTCGGGAGCGCCTAGGTGAATTGTAACTGCTGTATCCAAAGCTAACACTGATTTTGTTCCATTCATGATCGAAATCGAACTGTTGGCCACGCGGAGGATTCCTGTGTGATTTAGGTTTACCTATTGATGGTGAATTTGATTTTGATTCCAAAAGAGGTCCATCCAAATCTTGAACGTTTTCCACCATATTTGACACAATTGTATTGGTCATTGTTGAAATTCCTAAATAAAAAAACAAATAAGTATAAAAGCCAAGGTATTATGTAGATTGTCAAGTATATGCAATCAAATTAAGCTGTAATAAAGAGTTAACCCCTCACAAAACTGAGCTGGCCTAGTTATTGTTAAGGAACAGATGGAACGTCCTTGGGCTAACTGAAGCATATTCTAAGATTTGAAGAAAATAGGTTACCTGAAGATGGAAGATTTAAAGCCAACCTTCGGCGGCTGCCAACTGCTGTCATCACAGAAGCTGATGAATTTCGGAGTGGAAATGTAATGAAACTAGAAGTAAGCAGTCGTCGCGTATATACGACTTACTACGTCAAAAGAGAAAACAAACAAGAGGGCTACCAAGACAGCCAATACGTAATCTCTCTCCTTTGACACTCTTTAACTGTAAAGAAAACTCACAAAGTTAGAATTAAAAGAGATCTATTTCGGAAATTCGACAGTCACAGCTCAAAGAAAAAGCACGCTAACACCTCTGCTTAACATTAAGTTATAACTCACTCAGACGAACATCCGAACTCGTCGTCAGCTCACTTGTCTCTGAAGGGCTTCTCCCAAAATCGACAGTCTCTACCTGATACAACCAATATCAGCTCTCCATTTAGTCACGTGACTCTAGAAACTCTGTTTCTAGAACGCCAGTACCGCTTTTCTGCCTCATAAGGGCATTTTCTACGGAACTGCTTAAATTTTTAAAAAAAATAATCAGCGTCTTAGAAAGAGAAATATATTCTCCAGATGTTTTATTTCAGAACATCCGGAAATCAAAGGTTCATTCACGAGAAGTGGAGGGGGGACTGAGGTAAATGGAGTGGGGAGACTAACCGTACGGCTGGATAGGTTAGGTTACCTAGGCCTCACAACCATTATAAATTTCTGATTTTCATTATATGTAAATAGTTAAATAATTTTTCATATCCCTTGTTTATAATTTTAAACCATCTTCATCTATTTCTTTTACATAGTCAAGTGGGCAACAAATTAAAAAAAAAAATGTGGAAACTTCACAATTTACTTTAGGAAAAAAAAAACTTTAACGTGGTGTATATTTATCAGTTCTTTTCCCATTTTCCTCAACAAATTTATTATTTTCACAATACCTTTCCTTAATTTTTGTAAGTAGTAGACTTATATTTTACTAACTTTTGTCAAAAATATGGAATGAGTTTTTGAAACCACACAATAAACTCTCAACTTCCATCTCCTCGAATATCATGATTTTGGTTATATTTATTGTATTGTGTGTTGTATTTGTTTTATATTAAATTGCATCTAATTGTAGATGTATACACTTTTGTGTTTTGTTCTACTCTAATTTTAAGCATTTTAATATCCTGTATAAGAGAGGGAAGGGAGAGAAAAGGACATTAAATTTAAAAAAAAAAAAACATGAAGAAAGAAAAGAAAATATTGTATAGCATATTGTACTCATATATACTATCCAGTTCTGTATATTTATATATAAGGTTTATTTATTGTCCAACGGATTAATTAGTATGCTGTGTGTATAGCAACCCGCTTATCAGTCCTTGTCAGAATGAAGAAAATGAATGACATGTTAGAATGTAATTTGAGCCTGTCATTCCAGTGTTTTACTGAAAACTCGAATATTCCACAAAAATTAAAATTATATTGTGTACACAAATTGAATTATAGATTTCAACTGTATTAATATATAATGCGTTTGAATTGATTTGAATCTGCGTATTGTAACTTTTCTGGCATACACTATTTAATTTTATTGTGCAAATTGTTCGCTATTTAATAATCTTCACAATATCCGCCAATTATGTATTTATTGGCATGAAATAAATTCTATTCTGCTATGTATGAAGGACGACTGATTGGAAAATTTAAATCTATATCATAAATTAAAACCTTATTTCTTCAACTAAAAATAATTAGAAATAGCCAAGAGTAGAAGATATGGTAATTTCTGAATTTCTGATAGATGCTGAAGGGGTGCCATAACTCTCGACTTTTGCACAGGTGCAAGATACCTTTTGACTTCTATTTGAGAATATGATTACTTTAAATATTTTCTTCACCCAATACAACTGGTGAGGAAGCTGTGCTAACTCACTTTAATCCGTAGGACAATAAATAAAACGTATATATAAATATACAGAAGTGGATAGTATATATGAGTATATTTAATTTTTTTTCTTTTCTTTGTTCATGCTTTTTTTTTTTACATTTAATTTCCCTTTCTCTCTCTTTATACACATATTAAAATAATTAAAATTATAATAGAACAATAACAAAACACAAAAGTGAATACATCTACAATTAAATGCAATTTAATATAAAACAAATACAATACACAATACAATAAATGTAACCAAAATCATGCTTTTCGAGGAGATGGAAGTTGAGAGTTTATTGTGTGGTTTCAAAAACTCATTCCATTTTTTTTTGGCAAAAGTTAGTAAAATATAAGTCTACTACTTCCAAAAATTAAGGAAAGGTATTGCGAAAATAATAAATTTGTTGAAGAAGATGTGAAAAGAACTGATAAATGTACACCACGTTAAAGTTTTTTTTTTTCCTAAAGTAAATTGTGAAGTTTCCACATTTTTTTTTTAATTTGTTGCCCACTTGACTATTTAAAAGAAATAGTTGAAGATGGTTTAAAATTATAAACAAGGGATACGAAAAATTATTTAAATATTTACATATAATGAAAATCAGAAATTTATAATGGTTGTGAGGCCTAGGTAACCTAACCTATCCAGCAGTATGATTAGTCTCCCCACTACTTTTACCTCTGTCCCCCCTCCACTTCTTGTGAATGAACCTTTGATTTTGGGAGAAGCCCTTCAGAGAGAAGTGAGCTGACAACGAGTTCGGATGTTCGTCTGAGTGAGTTATAACTTAATGTTAAGCAGAGGTGTTAGCGTGCTTTTTCTTTGAGCTGTGACTGTCGAATTTCCGAAATAGATCTCTTTTAATTCTAACTTTGTGAGTTTTCTTTACAGTTAAAGAGTGTCAAAGGAGAGAGATTACGTATTGGCTGTCTTGGTAGCCCTCTTGTTTGTTTTCTCTTTTGACGTAGTAAGTCGTATATACGCGACGACTGCTTACTTCTAGTTTCATTACATTTCCACTCCGAAATTCATCAGCTTCTGTGATGACAGCAGTTGGCAGCCGCCGAAGGTTGGCTTTAAATCTTCCATCTTCAGGTAACCTATTTTCTTCAAATCTTAGAATATGCTTCAGTTAGCCCAAGGACGTTCCATCTGTTCCTTAACAATAACTAGGCCAGCTTAGTTTTGTGAGGGGTTAACTCTTTATTTAAACAGCTTAATTTGATTGCATATACTTGACAATCTACATAATACCTTGGCTTTTATACTTATTTGTTTTTATATTTAGGAATTTCAACAATGACCAATACAATTGTGTCAAATATGGTGGAAAACGTTCAAGATTTGGATGGACCTCTTTTGGAATCAAAATCAAATACACCATCAAAAGGTAAACCTAAATCACACAGGAATTCTCCGCGTGGCCAACAGTTCGATTTCTATCATGAATGGAACAAAAACAGTGTTAGCTTTGGATACAGCAGTTACAATTCACCTAGGCGCTCCCGAAATGGCAAGTCAAGAGGAACTCCGTCCAAGAGCCCCAGACAATCGCCATCATATTCAGAAAATTATGCATGGTTTAGTGATTCTCCAGCTCCTGCAGATCTCCCTATGCCACCGTCCCGTTGGATGACTTACATCCAACATAAGAGTGCTTGCATCAATCATTCCTGCTCCATTGAAGCAGCGAGGTTTGGAACCGAATATGAAACTGCTGCTCAATGCACAACCTTAAGTATCATCCATGAAATCAACCATTTAATATTAATTTATTACTTAACTCAATTAATTAACACTTAGATTAATAAAAATGTAATGATAAGATTTTTAATTTTTTATACATAGATTATATAAGGTGTATGTTTATATATACGCTTATAGAGCAAAACTTTTATATTATAAAAATAATTATATGTGTATAACAGCTAATATTAAATTATAAATATATATGTTTATGCTTGTCAAACGGGCCTTCAAGAACTTATTAACAGCTGCGCAAATATAGTAGATTATTATAATATTCGTTATTGTTTTTTTTTATTTTATACTCAAATTTATTTTGTTTGTATTTCTAATTATCTAAATAAAATATATGTTTTATGTTTCAATTATATGTTTATAAGTGTTAATATCAAATTAATTGTATATGTGTACATACTTGTTAATTGAAAATAACCATAAATACATAGTTTATTTAATATAAGTTTATTTCTTCTCCTTGAATTTCTAAAATATCTAGTAATTTCATGTTTTGTTAGGATCATGTGTTTAAAAATAAGTTATTTAAACCAAAGTGAGAACTATTTATATTTCTTTATCAAGCTCTCCAATTAAAAAAATATATATATACTTCTGATGGTACCTTTTTTGTGGAGATCACATTTCTTCAACTTCGCATTGGTTGATGATTATATTGGTACGTAGTAGATATGAATACTGCTTATATGTTTTGATCATCCAGATTTCCTTTAAGAACACGCATTTTATTGTGCCCTTAGTTGAATATGTTTTAAAGTGAAAACTTCTATAGACTTTTTTTTTTACTTTTTTCCGGAGGGTGAATTAGATTAATCTGTCAGATTTTAAAGCTCGGGCTATAGTCGACTAATTTAAATGTTTTTACATATGCTATTAGAGAAAAAAAAATTGGCCTGCATAGATTAATAATATTAACAAGTGTAGATTAATAGGTTAAATATACAAATGCACTTTCAAATCTCAAGGTATATTTTTAGCTCAGAAACTTGAGTTATGTTGTTTACAAAAACAGATGTATTTATGAAGTTTTTTTTACCTACCATCGATGTAATAAATAGAGTTTGTGTTTTTTTAATGGCCTTGATGAGTTTTTGCAGATCAGCTGTTAGGGTTTAGCTCCGTTAAAAATACAATTCAAAAACTTTGTGATAGCGCAAAATTGCTAGAAAATAATTTTTATTCTGCTATGTGTAAACGACGGTTGATTAGTAAATTTAAATCTATATCATAAATTAGAATGATATTTCATGAACTAAAAATAATTAGAAATATTCAAGGGGAGAAAATATGGTAATAACTATTGACACATGCATTTCAGGTAAATGCGTTTCAGGGCCGGATGTGACAACTTTTTCGTTAAAATCGGCTAACCGGAAGTGCTCTAA